GATTCCAAGCCGTACATTGATGTCTGATAAGCAGTAATGCAATTGGCAATGTTCGCAGTAATTCTGGCTACACAAATTGGAAGTGAGTGGCCAGTGAACATAGCTTGTGACATGTCTGAGTCGCGGTCAGTGTGACGGGTAGAAATAGTGAGCAACAACACTGCGTATATAATATATTCCAATGGATTTGAAAAGACAAAAACAGACGCATGCGGTTATACAACAATACAATTAAATAAAGAATATTCAGTGTTTCGGCTTGGGACACACATAATTTATCCATAAACAACTGGGCAGCAATGAGGCAAAGAAGGATACTATCCTCGTCATCAGTGTGAACCAGGTGGCCGAAGATGAGTCCTGACGACACGATCCTCTGGTATGCGTCAGAGATGAAGTAAACCTAACTCTGAGACAGCAGTCAGCGCTGCATGTTGACCGCTCTGGCACAGTACGGAGTTCGAAAGACAGATTAGTAAGGAGATTTGGTGTTTCTAAGAGGATTCATCGCAGCCAGATAGCCAATATACATCAGGTAGATAGATGAGTGTCTCGTTCTACTTGGACTCGTTAGTACAGCGCAGCCTCCGAAAAATGGTGTGTCGGAACCCAGGACGTTATCTTGAGGCGCCAGCGATCTAAGCTACAGCGTTACCAGCTGCGGCGGCAGATCACCATGACTGAGTACTAAATATGATTTAGCGCGTTCATGCTCCAATGTCATCTGTGTTGTGAACGTACAGGGGAACGGGCTGTCCCCTAGGGCCAAGACGTCCTTCACAAGTTGCCACCAACCAGTGGTATGTAAGCAATTACAACTACTACAACTAAATACAACAACAAAAACAACAACAGCAACTACTACTACAGTAAGAACAAGTAATCGCCTTAGTGGCTTTCATGAGTAATGGGGCAGCAACCTTACGCAGACACACCATGAGGAAGCTGCGCTACTAGACGACCAATGGCCGCGCGTGGACTAAGTATATCGCTAGGTCACCCACAACTATGCGGATTCGAACCGGTGACCTCCGGATTACAAGGCAAGCACGCAATTCTTGCGGTTACTGGCTGACAAGCCTCAAACAAGGTCACTGGGATTAAACCCAGCGCCTAAGCCAATAACGGAACGGCATGACGCTGGCCGCAACCAACCTGTGGAGAGTCAGAACGACAAGGCATATTTAGACAGAAACGCAATACACACATGACCATGATAAACGCGTTAGCGCCGGTGGTCTTATCTCCTATTGGGTAGCAACTGCTTAGCTTGAAGCGGTCGGTTGCAACCCTGTGAGCGATAAATGTGTTCCGACACCGACAGAGATAAGTCGTGTTCCACAACAACAGAGTTGAACTTATAACCTATTGATTTCCGCAGCCGAGTTTTGAAAGAATAGGGGTGGTGGTTTATTCCCCAGTTTTTAGAAAAATATTATGGTTTAGCTGACTTTTACCCGTTGATATGGGTGATATCAGTCGTACTAGGGTCAGTGAGAATATGCTACTACGAAGGCATGCAAACTGGTGAGCCAGGTCAAATTCCAGTCTCATCGCGATGGTCATGCTGAAGTTCAGTCTTGCGATTAAAACCTAGAAGTTGTTGGCTCTCTATGTGGTTTGGAGCAAACCACAAGGCAAGAGAAGCAGTATGAGTATGCAGTGAGAATAGGAGCCATCATAACGGCACTAACCTGCGCATATATGATCATCCAGTGGCTTGACGGACTACTACATCGTGGCGCCAGCTGGGTGATTCGGGTTTACTGCGATTCACACAGTGGTTCGGTGGCGGTGTTCCAGTATGTGGTGGGTATATGTCTGGCAAGAGGTACAAATGTCTGTTTAACAAGATTGCGATATGGCGGATGTGACTATTCAACAAATAAAGCTACTGCCCCTTCCTTCATGCCGGTGCAACGGATGGTGACAAAAGGAAATTATTGGACCCCGTTTGGTAAATCACCAAATCAAAAGCATATGAACCGAGTAATCAGTCAGCGGTTCCAAGTAGGCAAGATTCCCTGGCATAATCCATTGACCCAGAGTAAGCAATTAAATCAAAGGCCCGGGATGATGCGCCTTAATCCAAATCCATGCATCAGTTTGGGCAATCGGATTACAGCGAGCTCTGTGATAGTACTATGGACGGTGCTGTAATATATTCAGCTTCCTTTTCACGAATCCATACTCCGTTTTGATGTTCGAAATTTGTGGTGGCTCCCAGTTTAATTTCCCAGATGACCGCTTATATTTTTTATTTAGCTGTTTCTATTGGAAACATTTTGAAGCCGTACCTTTCCTACCTTGATAACACCATTATTTTATTTCTTCACTAAACCCATTATGAACTAAAAGCCCTAATCAGGTTGAAAACAACCGATGGATTCAGATTGAACGTCAGCGAGAGAACGAAATAGTGAGTTGACCAATAAAGTCTCGTTTCCGTCTTCTGATAAGACAGTGCGTTTACTTCGATGGGACAACAGTTCATAGAGGCAGGCAACGAGAACCCTACTTTCAGAACCTGCGCCCAGTACATTCGATGTCCACATACCTGAACATCATTAACGTGTAAGAGTGTTAAGTCACATAACGGCATACATATTAATATCCATATGATGAAGAGACTCTGTAAAGTGACATCATTTGTGGTAAACAGCTGCATACCTATTGATCTTTACATAAGTAAGAACAGTCTCTTGTCACCAACACCAGTTAGCGGAAGGTAATAAACACACTACAGCTAATGTGCCGCAACACAAAGAGTTAGATGTGTGGAAAAAATACATTACAAATACGTAAAACCAAGAATGCAATATGATTGTGTGTTGTGGTTTTCTAGGAATCGCGAACGTGTCTGTGACAAGCCCAAACGCTCGACACAAAATAACGGTTAAAAGACGTCGAGAAGTAACACTTTCTTCCGAAAAGACTAGATGAGGTACATAGGATGCCATTTCACTGACATCACTGGCAAATGACCTTGAAAAAGTCAATATCCTAAAATGTCATTGGTTGAGCCGGAGTAACAACTATGAGACAAGCTAATCAGCTTCGAGTTGGACGCTGTATCCAACCGATTTCGCTAGGGTCTGTGCTCTCTAACAATCATTTTAAGGAGCACGTATGAAAGGTGGTTGGACGGGGAGGACAAGCGGAAGGAGGAAGGACAAAGAAACTCAACACAAACACCACTGAGGTCGGCTCCTAGCCATGTCAACAAGTGTTTCCGACCAAAGGTGCTCGTCGTCCTCGGGCAGTCAGGAGATACAAACCGAAGCTAACTTCTAAGTAAGAGTCATCCTGCCTCTTGACCGAATCATCGCTTGGCGTCCCATCCTCTTCTTTCGTGCACACCCCAGTCGCATAAACAACGCACGACACGACAGTCGGTGTGCTGGTATGCGCAACATGTGGCCCAGAAATCTGAGCCTGATGCGTGTGATAACGGTGCTGAGTGGTTCACTCGTTCTTGCACCAAATACGCGAAGCAGAACAGGCTCATTTTGCTCACCAGACATGGACCAAACTTCGAAGACATCGATGGGTGAACGTAACAAGTGTCTTTAGGTCTGTCAATCTGATGGGCCAGGTTTTGCACTCGTACAGGATGGTGAAACAGACAGCCGCATTATAAATTCCGCCATTCGGGGCGAGAATGATGTTATGCCGGCGGCACAGGTGGCGGACATTGGCGAAAGCGCCTCGAGCTTTTGCTATACGGCTTGTGACCTCATCTTTGATCCCACGGGAGCTACATAAGTGCCAAGATACTACAATTTCGGGACGACATCTAGCTGAGCACCGCCAAGGGTCAGCGCAGGTGTGGGTCTCTGCCCACCCACCCACATTGCAATGCGATAGCCAAGCATCTTGGCTGACTGTCAAGAAGATGTCCCAAATCATGAATTTTCCTTTATGTACTACTGTTTAATGCACAGACACAAACCATGGATGTGTGATAGCGAGGAGATATACCCATAATACCTTCAATGGGGATCGCACCGCCAAATCCAAATGGAAGAGTATGAGGTTGACGCTAGTTGCCCGTGGGTTTAATTGTTTAGCTATCAACAAGAAATCAGAAATAACCACATATGCGATTGAGATTACCCCGATTATAGACTGCTATTCAAGTAGCACAGTGTACGTTGGATGGAGAGTGTGCATGACTTCATGGATGCCTGTATCCGTCAGTTTGAGGCTAAATGAACTAGGGGGTTAGCGGTCATGGGTTCGATCCCCAGTAGGGGACCGAGGGAACGCGCACCACTGACGAGTCTCAACAGGGCGAAACGCTTCTGGTTTTCCGGATTGTGGTTGAGCTATGTAGCTTGTGAGCTGCTGGGATGAATACATTAAAATTACAACCAAAATCCTCCTACTCATAAGTAAAATGAAAAGTGCTTGCAAGCGCCGGGATGAAGAGGTGTACTTCATATAAAAATAGCTCGAAATGGGAAACGGATTATTCACGTGGAAAAGTTGTTTTTGATGAAGATGAAACAAGAATACTCACAAATACAGATGAAGGATGGTGAATCAATGAGCAACAAGTGGCTCAATCACGTGGCCACCAGACTAGGTTCGGGCGTCGTTCGACAAATGCTTTCCAAATGCGAAAGGAGATACAGAAGTTTAGTTGGCGCAGTTTACACGGGGTAAAATAACAACCGTAAGATAAAACCGTCTAGAGATGAGTAATATAGACTAGAGTCAACAAGGCAAAGTGGAAAAACATGAGCGGCTAGATGGAGTGATTGGGTGGATGACACAGCTGTTGGAACAATGGATAAGACCGCAAAAAGTTATGGGGATGTGACCCGGCTGATGGAATAATGTAAATGAGTTGAGCAAGCTGCAGATGATCACCATCCAATGCAAATAGAGCAGATAAATCTCACAAAATGTAGATTGTCAGACACAGCCTCAGGAGTGGGGTACACACCTCTTCTGGAGATGTAAATGAGAATAAGCGAGTCGCATATGTATCAAGCAACAGGTGCGCACTCCTCCGACGGAAGGTCGACGTGGTTGATTTGCCGAGATGCCGCAGCGGTAGCATCAGCGGTATGTTTCCGGCGTAGTCGACGAGCGCGACGGCGGCGAATTCGCTGTATGATGATTGGAAACACAACTACACCGGAGAGGACGAGGCCGATTCCGGATACGATGAAAGCCCAATTATGCGAATGGGTAGCATCGATAATGTAGCCTGTGGTAAGAAACACACAGTATGGAATGAATAAATAGGTACTCGGGAAAATGGGTTGGAATTTACTGTTGATGCTAAGTTGTCAAAAACGTGCGCAACCAATGTTATGTACTACACCAGATGTCTGTTGGCAGCATTCCGTGTGCAACTCGGGAAGGATTGCCTAGATGTCTGTTCAACGAGATCAGCATAGACCGATAATTTGTGCTATGACGATCAACAGTAGAAATATTTGATAAGAAGCAGAGAGAGTTAAAACATTAGGTACGCTCAGGTATGGGGCAATATCACTTCAACAGCCAATAGACAGATGGGAAGAAAGTGAGCGGAAATCATTAGCACAGGCTCAGTTCAGAAGACTGGGTACGTTTCGAGTGGGTTAGCCAATAAGTATGTCACCGTTTTGGAAGGCCGAGTGCGACGCAGCATATATGCCAATGAATTGCGAAATGCGGCGTTACACATTGCTTGACGACAGGGTCCCAGTGGTCCTCAAACAATGGCCCAACACGGAAACGTCAAACCAAAGCGTGGAAGATGTAACTTCTTCACAAAGCATGATATGGCGCTGATTCAGCAGAAACAGCTCGGAGTAGTATCTTATACCGTAATGCCGACGGACCTGCGAGGACATGTTCAAAGGGCACTGGTCGATCAAGTCTCCTGGAAACTAACTTTATTTTTGCAGGATCCAGGAAAAGCCATAATTAGCACCAAAACAGTACTGAACCTGCAGTGCTGGATCTCAGCGATATTTCCACAAACATAGAAGAAAGAGGTGCTTATCTGATTCTCCAAACAAACGGCACCGATCGGACCCTGATATAACCCATATTACAATAATCATAATTCAACAGTTCAAAGCTGAATTTAGGGAGCACGCTGTGTGGTTGTGTTGCGACTCGCAACCTTTATTGAGACCTCGGCTCACTTTGAGGTAAACTTCGGTCATTCCGATCTCAAGGACCGTATCCTGCATGGATATATTTGGGTGTTGCTCTTCCCAACCCAGGTGTGCCAGGGTCGGGAAGAGCAACACCCAAATATAATTCAACAGTGTTAAGAAGCGCATTCCAAAGAATGTTGTTAATAAGGCCCTTGCTGGCATGCTTGTTTTCCACCACAGTTTAAAAACATGATCGCACACATGCTGAGCTACAGTTTGACAAGATTATCTGTGACGCCACTTAAAGAGGATATTCTCCAAGTCAAGTCAGGAATGCGCGTTCTTACGCACCCAGAAGTGGAATAAACCAATAGGTTTCAAGGTTTTATTTCTTGATAGAGGTGTATTGTAGGATACACCAACGATCGACCATGCGTCGCTGATCAATGCGATCGAACGCCAAGGATAATGAAGTGGTGCATCCGATAGAAGCAAACTGCGCATGCATGTAAAATGAGAGTAATGTGAGCGTAGATAACTAAACGGATATATAAGCTACGCAATAAATAGATAAAAAGATCGATTAACGATTAAAACAAAACTGCTGCGGCAATATTCATTCAATAGACACAATGAAAATAAGTACAAACAATGTCTACCGATCATCAAAAATGACGCAGAATATTTGGTGTGGCTAGAGTACAATAAATCGGACAACGACACATCTAATCGAAAACTCAACTGCTAATACTTCCTAAAAATCATCAACTGCCCGATTTAGCTTCTAATACAATCAGATGATGGAAGCTTAACAACGGATGTCGCGGCCAATGGAACAAACCATGTCCTCCGCACGTTGGAAGCCCTCAAGAAAATCAAAATGTACAATGAATAAAAGCAGTCGCTTGACAAATCCCGCAGGTTGGTAGGGATAAAACCTCGATATCAAAAGACATACGTTGTCTTTTTGAGGATCTATCGAACAAATGCACCGCTTAATAACAGTAGTGTCAAATTAGAATTGGGTGCAAGCAAACAAGACGACAGGGAGGCAGTTATAGCTGATGAAATCCGTGAGAAAATTAATATCACAAATACGCACTCATGTATCGCCCCCTTAAGTTTGCGTAACACATAAATCCGGCTTGAAGGCATAATAAATTCCAAAGTAGCACAGTTCAGGCAACAAAGCGATGGAGGCCAAGGGCAAAAACTATTCGTTTTTCGAAAATATTCAGGGTGGGAGAGAGTTTGGGAGAAAGTTCCAGGGTTTGCAAAGCCGAAGAAAAAAATAATACCGCCGGCATTCCAGGCGGCTATCCTGTACACCCAATTCCAGACAGTTACCTCTGAAATTGGTCTTATGACTGAGTTCCAGCAACTGACGATATGCGAGATTGGAGTCACCCAATATTTGGTAAACTTGTATGAGATCGTTGCGCAGCCTTCGGTAGCGTCCACCGTAAATTCCAAGTGACTTCAACCTTTGCGGATAGGACAGATTTCGTAGACCCTTGACTTTCTTTGTAGCCTTGCGTTGTGGTTTCTCTAGCACCTCGAGGTCGCGCTTACCCCAAGGTTGCCAAACTTGGATGGCGTATTCAACGTGAGGGCGCACGTAGGCGTTGGGCATCATCGGGAAGATGGATGGGTTGAAATTTCCGAATGCCCTTCATAGCAGACCGAGATGTTGGTTGCCTTTTTTCGCAGCTTTCTCAGAATGTTATGAACATTTAAGGTCATTTTAAATGAGCACATTAAGGTCGCGTTCCTGGGAAGTGGTTTGCAATATTTGTGACCCAAGCCAATACATGTAGTCATGCCTATGGCGTAATTGGACAACACGACATTTGTCTACATTGAATGGTGGAGTATTTTGAACTGACCAGCTCGGAATCGTGTTGAGGTCGCGCTGAGGAACATCGTGGCCATCCAGTTCCCCGATCGTTCGCCATATCTTGATATCATCAGCGAAGATCGTTTAGGAAGACCAAGAATAAGGGAGAGCCTAGGGGGACACCGCACTCCACCACAATTGCATCGCATGGGAATTCTCGCACTCTCAACTCCAACCGAGGTGCGTGCAGAAATTGCCCATCATCAATAGCATAGATCTGAGGTTTATGGAGGAGAATTCGGTGATCTAAGCGATCAAACGCTTTTGAGAAGTCCAGATAGATGACATTGACACCTGCTCCACTATCAACTGCTTCAGTCCAGCTATTGCGTGCAATTAGCAAACATGGCGGCGACCGATCAACTCCCGTGGCCAAGTGGGCAACGACGAACGCATAAGCGTAGGGCGGTGAGTTCCATCCCGGGGGGGGGTGAAACAGCCGTCCAGTGCTCTAGGGTGTGTACAGTGGATGTCTGATTAAATGCGGCCGTGGCGAACCTCACTGGGAAATGCAATCAAAATCTCGCCCTGTAGCACTCACTAAAAATAACATTTTCACCGAGAGGTACTTTGCAGAGATAGCTTAGCTAGAATAGGGACTGATGATCATATTGCAAATGATCATACCCATTCCGTAAATCGGCCATATTCAGCATGTGTCGAGGGCAGGGAACACACTGGAGAGTGAGGCCACTGGATTTGTATTTGACACAGCAAATGCAAACATTGAAGAGGTAGCAGTAATTAGATGACCCAGTGAGTAAACGAGGAAGTTGAACCGCGGTGTAAGGGTGGTTGCTTCAGAGTGCCGTCTTATAGGCCAGCTATCAAAGTTCGAGTTGCCAAACCACACGAGCTGGCATGAGAAAATAAGAGTTGCTGAGCGAAATGAACACAAGTAATTGAATGAAAAGGTAACAAAGGCACATCGTCGGGCCGAAGGAAGAATAAACGTGTGACAGCTACCGAATACTCAAGTATTCCCGAAGGATGGCGATTCATACAAGTGAAGCGGGGGTTCCGAAGATACTCGGTCACGGAAATGGCAAGTAACAGCACGGTCCCATCTCCGATCATCGTTTCCATTCGTTATATTTATACAACACACTCATACTGTGATTTGTGTGATCAAGAGTAATTTCGATAAGCAATACGCATCGATGTAATTAGTCGGGAAGTATGTCAGAGGTGTGGACTGAAACAGCGCATATTGTACAGGTACAGGAAACGATGCAAAGCTACTAGCCACATTGCCAAGATCAACCGGTAGGCCTGACTACTGTCCTTGTGTTGCTCGCCGCGATTAGCGACGCATTGTTGGTTATTCTGCAGCAGAGTTGTCAGGATACCTTTCGGTGGATTTATCGGCAAATTGGAATACTTTTAAGGTGACTTCGGTATCATTCAGTTCTACTACTGCTTCTGTAATCTTTATATCATAATTTGTGAGGTACGTTTCCGCAGATTTTGTAGTTCAGTCTTGTGATATCTGCCTTACCACCTTACGCCACTTTTAGGCCATTTTGCCAAAGTGAAAAAAACATCTTGTGGTTCCTATTCGAAACTTGTTGGACAGACGGTAAATGCCCTCGCTTGCATTGACTGCGGTGCTGGATGTAATATTTCGTGTGTTGGATTACCTGCGAACTCCTATTGTCTATTGCGTTCCATTTAACATGATTTCATCCAAACTTTGTTAATGATTGTCATAGTCGAAAGTAGCCAGAGAAAGGCATAACGTCTACCGAGACAGATCCCGCCAAAAATGTTTGGCTGTGAGTGGTTTCAGATAAATTGTTACGCAAACTACCCTAGATTACATCTGAGATTCAGCGTAGCCCTCTTCATATGCTCCTCCTTCTGACAATTCATCGCCATCCTAATGTTCCCAGAAACATGACAGCAACTGAGGCAAATGATCCAATGACTTTACTAGCTCTAGAGACATATGAATTTCCAATGGTTGAAGAGCTATAGAAAACTCAAGGAGGGAAGAAGCTGTGAAACGAAGAGAACCCTCCCGCCACTGATTGAAAACAGGCTAGGTTAAGCAAGGCTTAAGGCGACCTTCCTCCTGCATGAACCTCTTCGAATGATAAGAGGCAATCAAATCTGATGATTTTTCACACGTCTGTGGCCAACGATCCAAGTCATCAGGCACGCTATGATTTATGATCATGACGTTGAGTTTTTACAGAGCATAGGCGGGTGAGGGCG